CCACAATGTAAAGCGCTTTGAGTGCCCAGAAAAGCGCTATATAAATGTAAGGAATTATTATTATTATGATAGATAGATGATAGATAGATAGATAGATAGATAGATAGATAGATAGATAGATAGATAGATAGATAGATGGATAGATGGATAGATGGATAGACAGATGGACGGATGGACGGATAAATGGATGATAGATAGATAGATAGATAGATAGATAGATGGATGGATGGATAGATAGATGGATAGACGGATGGATAAATGGATAAATGGATGATGGATGGATGGATGGATGGATGGATGGATGGATGGATGGATGGATAGATCGATGGATGGATGGATGGACGGACGGACGGACGGACGGACGGACGGATGGATGGATAGATAGATAGATGGCCAGCCCTAACCTACGAGCACACACATTATCCTGTGAACGTGTGTGGTCTTAGGCCTAATGTTTTGTCATGGTGATAAATAATGATAATTACAAAGACCCTCAAAACAGGGCTGTAGAACACACACAGGGTAAAATATTTTGAATTACTTACTGTGTGATTAAAAACACTACTGGTAGGAGTTGATAGGAATTGTAAGCAGTTGCTGTCCTGTTTTGTCTAGTCTACCCATAACTGTTTATGCACATTTTAAATGGTACATTATAAAGTTGTATAAAGGTTGTTGTTGTTTTTTCTTTAAAGGAACTGTATAGTCACAATAATGAAAAGTATAACAAATAACAAAAAATACTTATATTAGATGGATGGATGGATGGATGGATGGATGGATGGATGGATGGATAGATAGATAGATAGATAGATAGATAGATAGATAGATAGATAGATAGATAGATAGATAGATAGATGCAGCCCAAGACTGGTTGCCCACTGAAGCTAACAGTGTTGGGGGTAATATATTACAAGTAATGCAAGTTACGTAATCAGATTACTTTTTTCAAGTAACTAGTAAAGTAACGCATTACTTTTTAATTTACAAGAGAATATCTGAGTTACTTTTTCAAATAAGTAACGAAAATTACTTTTTTTTTCAATTTATTGATTGACAGCTCTTCTGTCCCCATGTTGAGAGAAATCAGAAGATGTTACTGTAGTTCTAAAATAAATATGAATATGCATTAATTCATCTCACTCACAAAAATTGAAAAAGATTTGCTTTTGAAATGTGTGCCTGTTTTGCTTTTATTATTATTATTATTATTATTATCATCATCATCATCACTACTACTACTGTTTTATATATTATTATTTTATAAATGTATTTCAATATATTGTTATGCAATGGCGTCCATACATCGTCTGTGGCACTTTATGTGGTCAGTGTAGATGAAAATGAAAAGGTTTGGTGTTAGAGAGCACTCTATCACCACCATCCATGTCAGCAGGCGTAATAAAGCTAAGAGCAATATTACCGCAGCAGGACTCGACCTATGACCGGCGCTGATGCTCACAGCTACTGAGTACTGACTGACGCTCACACACAACACTCAACACTCAGCACTCACCCGGAAAACACCCGCTGGTCAGCATGGAGCGGAAAGTGGCGAGGGAATTTCGGCATAAGGTGGGCTTTGAAACTGCTACTGTCTGATGTAAACTGTGTTCATTGTTTTGCTAGCATTATTAGTTATTATTAGTCTCGTTCTTTGGCTCTCGCTGCCCGGGAATGGCGAAGGAGCACGCATCCTTCATTTTTACGCTGTACTATTTTATATTATTATTTTATAAATGTATTTCAATATATTGTTATGCAATGGCGTCCATACATCGTCTGTGGCACTTTATGTGGTCAGTGTAGATGAAAATGAAAAGGTTTGGTGTTAGAGAGCACTCTATCACCACCATCCATGTCAGCAGGTGTAATAAAGCTAAGAGCAATATTACCGCAGCAGGACTCGACCTATGACCGGCGCTGATGCTCCACCGTCCCTCACAGCTACTGAGTACTGACTGACGCTCACACACAACACTCAACACTCAGCACTCACCCGGAAAACACCCGCTGGTCAGCATGGAGCGGAAAGTGGCGAGGGAATTTCGGCATAAGGTGGGCTTTGAAACTGCTACTGTCTGATGTAAACTGTGTTCATTGTTTTGCTAGCATTATTAGTTATTATTAGTCTCGTTCTTTGGCTCTCGCTGCCCGGGAATGGCGAAGGAGCACGCATCCTTCATTTTTACGCTGTAAAATATTACCAAAGTAAGTCAAATTAATATTCGCCCAGCTTTCGACACGAACAGTATTTCTGTATCCATAGAAACCGTCGTTATTTGATCAGGTAAGTTTGTTTTTCACCGAAAAGGTGTGCACACCTAGCATCATATGTCAGTCTTCAGCTCTGTTTTAGACGTTTGTATCATTACAGTTAACATTAGCTTAATAATGTCGACGTAATGACATATTTAGCCAAATTTGATTGCTTTGCTTAATTTACCGGTAGACAGGTAGGCTATGTGTGACGTCACATAATCTACGCGTTCTAATTGGCTGAGCAGGTGACAGGTGTGGGCTGCTGTGTGTGCTGGAGATTGTTGTACAATAGGTATTGATTACTTTTTAAAACTTTGTTGTGATTACATTTTTAAATTACACTGAATTATTTAATTCTGATACCTATTTATATGCTCATGCTTATTTTTATTTTGAAGACCCCACGTGACCCCTGTGTGTAACTGTACCATCTGTTGTGTGGTGCATGGAGTTACACAATGGACAGCTTTTCACAGCATTAGCTGAAGTGGCAGAGATGTGTGGTCAGGCGGAAATGATTGCGGCATTTATTGTTCAGCCTGTTTTATTGCCTGTACTGTAGATGAGGGTGGGAAAGCTGTGCCACACTAAATCATAAAGCTTTGCATGTAATTTTAGCTTCCCCTGTATGACAAATACATTATGCTGTCGACCTTTCTGTTCATTTGTCTCTTTCAAATCACTTTGCATAACCTGCAGAGGATATGAAGCTGATTTAAGTTACATATTTCTGCTTTCAGCATCAGTTTCTGATGTTAAAGTCCAAAGGTGGACTGCCATCTAGGTGTATTCAGATGTTTATGACACCTTAAATGGCCTTTGAGCACACAGTCACTGCTTTATTATATGTGGCATGACACTGGTGGTGATATGGAACTATTTGGATATGCTTTTTATTTCCCCGCAATGTTCACATAGTTTACCGAATGATTCATTTATTATGAATTTTTTTTTTTTTTTTAAGAATTAACATGTTCACGTCATATGTAGTTATTGTTAACACACAATTAAAATACAAAAATAAAAACATTACCTTTATAAAAGCGCAAACTTTTTATTTGCATTTACATTTTACTTGTTTAATGTATTTAATGTTGTTTAGTTCATCCACGCATGCACAGATTTCTTTCTTTCTTTTTTCCTTTGTCTTTCTTTCTTGCATGCATGCATAATGCCCATTTTATTTACTTCTTTGTTTGTTTGTTTTTAGGCCATTTTATTTGTTTGTTTGTTTCGTTCATCCATCTGTTTGTTTGTCTGTTCATTCAGTCTATTAAATGTATTCATTTGTTTGTTTTCAAGCCATTTTACATTTTTTTTTTTTACAGTCATTTTTGCACTAATAACAGAACCTTTATGTCATTTTTCAAAACTCTAGACACAAAACTCAAAACAGCCATTATTTGCATCACAGGCTTTCCAATATTGGATATTGCATATTGCATTCATATCTTTAAAGAAGCCTTGCATTGGCAGAAGCATTGGTTCAAAAAACTACAAAAGGGGGCCTATTGTAAACCTTCCACTTCCATGTGGAGAAAAATTCTTCAGTCGGGGTACAGTAAGGAAAGGGGAGTATGGGGGTAGATAAGGTGTTAAACTGTGGATGGGCCTGAAAACATGATTGCTCTCAGTGCCGTTCCTAGGAATTCTGGGCCCATAGCACTGATTTTGCTATAGGGCCCCCTCAAAATCACGTTCAGTGGGGGGTGGTCGGGCCCCCCAACAAACATCGTTCTGGGCCGCTCTCAACCGCTGGGCTCTCAACCTCTCCTCCATGTCATGGCCAAGTTAAAGCCTGCCTCATCCAAAAATATGAATGGTTTTCATCAGCTTCCAGCTCTATCACCCTCTAAAAACAAATACTGATAACAATGATATAGATTTTTTGGGAATTTTTTTTTCTCCCGACAACAGGAAACTGATCACACCTGAACATACTCAGTCCTCATACTCAGCTTCACTTTCATAATCTAAACATTGAATATTGTTGATCATTTTCCATATAAACTATGCTTCAAGAGTAACGGAACAGTCATGTAGCATTTTGAGCAGCTGTATCAATTGATAGTTAGATCATTGTAATGAAATGAATAGACACTCAATTCAGATGTATTGCGTTTTGAAATAGTAATACTTTGATGGTAGATAAGGTGATAAACTGTGGATGGGCCTGAAAACATGATTGCTCTCAGTGCCGTTCCTAGGAATTCTGGGCCCTCAAAATCACGTTCAGTGGGGGGTGGTCGGGCCCCCCAACAAACATCGTTCTGGGCCGCTCTCAACCGCTGGGCTCTCAACCTCTCCTCCATGTCATGGCCAAGTTAAAGCCTGCCTCATCCAAAAATATGAATGGTTTTCATCAGCTTCCAGCTCTATCACCCTCTAAAAACAAATACTGATAACAATGATATAGATTTTTTGGGAATTTTTTTTTCTCCCGACAACAGGAAACTGATCACACCTGAACATACTCAGTCCTCATACTCAGCTTCACTTTCATAATCTAAACATTGAATATTGTTGATCATTTTCCATATAAACTATGCTTCAAGAGTAACGGAACAGTCATGTAGCATTTTGAGCAGCTGTATCAATTGATAGTTAGATCATTGTAATGAAATGAATAGACACTCAATTCAGATGTATTGCGTTTTGAAATAGTAATACTTTGATGTTAAGTTGTGTCATTTTGAACCGGTGATTTTAGTTCAATAAACAAAATATCTTTGGTTCATGTTTATCGTATCCAATCATTTTGAAAAAAGTGTTAAGTGTTTTGAAAAATGTGCGTTTTGATCATCAGTTGTGATTTATGTTTCTAGAGTTTTGAAAAATGACATGAAGGTTCTGTTATTAGTGCAAACGTGATTGTAAAAAAAACTGTATTTGTTTACTTTGTTCATCCATTCATTTTTGTTTGTTCATTCAGTCCATGTTATTTATTTATTCATTTATTTATTTTGTTAATTTGTTTGTTTATCCAGCCATTTTATTTATTTGTTTTGTTCATTTATTTGTTTTCAAGCCATTTTATTTGTTTGTTTTGTTGATCCATCTGTTTTTGTTTGTTCATTCAGTCAATGCTATTTATTTATTTATTTATTCATTTTATTAATTTGTTTGTTTATCCAGCCATTTTATTTGTTTATTTGTTTTTGTTTTGTTCATTTATTTGTTTTCAAGCCATTTTATTTGTTTGTTTTGTTTATCTGTCTGTTTTTGTGATCACTCAGTCAATTAAATGTATTTATTTGTTTGTTTTCAAGCCATTTTATTTGTTTTTGTTCATCCGTTCATTTTTGTTTGTTCATTCAGTCCATTAAATAAATGTATTATTCATTTTTGTTCATTCCTTTGTTTGTTTATCCAGCCATTTTATTTATTTGTTTGTTTTTGCTTTGTTAGTTCATTTGTTTGTCGGTCTGTTCTTTCAGTCAATTCAATTTGTTACTTTTTGTGTGTGTGTTTTTTTTGTTTATCCAACCATTTTGTTTGTCTGTTTGTTCCTTCAACCCATTCAACTTATTTGTTTGTCCAGCCATTTGTTTGTTTGTTTGTTCAATTTATTTATTTAGAAATCAAAACCTTTGGCTTTTCAGTTTAGCATGCTAACCTCACGTTACATTAACTTCATTAACATTCTTATGATAATAATGCACCTACACTCTTATGTAAGGCGACACTGCTAGCATGATAAACGTCTTTATCTGAGCTCAGGAACATTAACAGGTCCAGTGGAGCAGATCTGAACTAATGATACTCACAGTACATGAAAAGATCCACCTGACCTATTCAACTGAAAACACCAGCAGACCCAACCAATCTGAGAGATGCTTGACTTACAGACACACAATCGTTCCTCCACCTCCTCTCTCTCTGTCTCAGCCTCTCCTCCTCACTCCACCTTCTCCTGACCTTCTGTCTTAGTCTCTCACTCAGTGAGAGAGAGATGTGTTACATCATTGACTGGCCAAAACGCTTCCTCAAAACATTTCTACAGCAGATTAGCCACCATCAGGTAACAGATGGGCATATGATTGGTTTTCTGATTGTTATTGATGATCTGATCAGAGGTTTGTGTGTTTGTGTTGTTCAGGTGGAGCTGCTGATTGATAATGAAGCAGAGAAGGACTATCTGTACGATGTTCTCCGCATGTACCACCAGTGAGTACACTCTAAAATAATTATTTATTTATTTATTTGTGTTGTTGTTATCTAAAATAAATAAATAATATTTGTTATTAATGTTGTTGTTTATATATAAATATAATAATAATTATTATTGTTAGCTGCATAGGCCAAACAAAATGCAAAATGGCAAAATGGATAGCAATTTGTATTTTTTAGGGTTAGCAATATAAACACATTACCTAGAAACCACTAGAACAACCTAGCAACCAGAAAATGTAAAAATCTAGGTATTTTATCACAGTTCGCAGATATTGCACACTTCTTGATTAAAAGGAAAATGTTATAATTTGCTAAGAATATAAATGGTGTTCAAAGGTCTCAGCAGCAGCAGTAGTGTGTACTGGAGTTTTAGAGGCTGATAAATAATGTAATTTTCCATCAGTGGTTCTGGTAATCTGTTGATCAAATGAAAGCTGCATGGCACATTCAAAAAGACAAAAGTATTCAGTGTCAGTTAAGTGTAAGAATAACAAATGCTGAATGCATTCCCTCGGCTCTTTATTTGTGATCTTATGTGTAAATCAGCACGTCATTGCTCCGCTGGACTGCAGTAAGAGGCTTAATCCAGTGGAAAATTAACTTGGATCAGATCATTTCCACTGTCCTCCCTGCGTTCAAGGGCAGCCATTCTCTCGCGTACCTTTGTCTCTGATATCTGAGTCAGGAGTGAAATATCAATGATTCATAGAGCAACTGCCTCCAAATTCATAAGCTGACTTTATGTGGGTATATAGTGTCATTTTCCACAACAAGCAACATATCAGACTATTTTTGAAATAATTAATGTAAGGTAATCTTACAAAATCACAGCAAAAACATATATATACATGTATAATGCCATTTATTGTATAATGTGTTGGTGTGTGTGTGTGTGTGTGTGTGTGTGTGTGTGTGTGTGTGTGTGTGTGTGTGTGTGTGTGTGTGTTTATATATATATATATACACTCTAAAATAATTATTTATTTATTTATTTGTGTTGTTGTTATCTAAAATAAATAAATAATATTTGTTATTAATGTTGTTGTTTATATATAAATATAATAATAATTATTATTGTTAGCTGCATAGGCCAAACAAAATGCAAAATGGCAAAATGGATAGCAATTTGTATTTTTTAGGGTTAGCAATATAAACACATTACCTAGAAACCACTAGAACAACCTAGCAACCAGAAAATGTAAAAATCTAGGTATTTTATCACAGTTCGCAGATATTGCACACTTCTTGATTAAAAGGAAAATTTTATAATTTGCTAAGAATATAAATGGTGTTCAAAGGTCTCAGCAGCAGCAGTAGTGTGTACTGGAGTTTTAGAGGCTGATAAATAATGTAATTTTCCATCAGTAGTTCTGGTAATCTGTTGATCAAATGAAAGCTGCATGGCACATTCAAAAAGACAAAAGTATTCAGTGTCAGTTAAGTGTAAGAATAACAAATGCTGAATGCATTCCCTCGGCTCTTTATTTGTGATCTTATGTGTAAATCAGCACGTCATTGCTCCGCTGGACTGCAGTAAGAGGCTTAATCCAGTGGAAAATTAACTTGGATCAGATCATTTCCACTGTCCTCCCTGCGTTCAAGGGCAGCCATTCTCTCGCGTACCTTTGTCTCTGATATCTGAGTCAGGAGTGAAATATCAATGATTCATAGAGCAACTGCCTCCAAATTCATAAGCTGACTTTATGTGGGTATATAGTGTCATTTTCCACAACAAGCAACATATCAGACTATTTTTGAAATAATTAATGTAAGGTAATCTTACAAAATCACAGCAAAAACATATATATACATGTATAATGCCATTGATGCCATTTATTGTATAATGTGTTGGTGTGTGTGTGTGTGTGTGTGTGTGTGTGTGTGTGTGTGTGTATATATATATATATATATATATATGTATACGTACGCACACAATTTATATCACCTATTTACTATTTGAATTGACAAATATTGGATGAATATAGCGTCAGGGCTTTTTTTTATTCAAATAGTAAATTGTCCAACTTTTTATGCCAGGTTGCAAAAGGAAAAGCCTGATTCCTCTTGAAGCATGTAAAATCCTAGAAGAAAAAAATCCCTATTTTTCATTACAATAGTATAGCATAAAAATGCTTTATTTTACAAAGACTTTTAAGATTTAAATAAATAATTTTTAAATTGATATCATGACAGTATTAACTTTCATGATGCAGTAATAGGAATGAGGCTGTATTTTGCATTACAGTATTGAGAACTGGTGGTAAAATATTTTTTATTTATATATATATATATATATATATATATATATATAAAATCTCAAATTATTTTATTTAATAAAATTTTTTTATTTTATTTTATTTTATTTTATTAATGACAACAGTCATTATTTTTGCAATTCTGTTTGGTGGTACAGAATTTAGACACCATTAAACCTAACCTTATTCTATGAACATGTCCTATGTTTTATGTTCATGATCATTTAACTTTATAGAATATATTAAATAATGCTTGAATAACAGAGATTCAGCATCGAGACAGTATGTTGAATCAGTGTAGTCTAAGAAAAGTTATTTTAATCCACAAACTGTTTGTACTGTTTTAATGTTGCCCTCCTTCTTGCATGTGTTCAATGAGGTCCTATTTAAATCACTCTGCTCTGCCCTTATAGAGCCATGGACATTCCTGTCCTGGTCGGCGACCTGAAGCTGGTGATAAATGAGCCCAAACGCCTTCCGCTGTTTGATGCCATCAGACCCCTGATTCCTCTGAAGCACCAGGTGCAGTACGACCAGCTCACGCCCAAGAGATCCAGGTGAGAGAGGAAACCAGGAACACAGATGATAATGAGGCGATAAAAAGGGGTTGATAGGCTGTGCTGCTTCTGAGAAGTATGGCCATGTTTCTGTGCATGAATAGCAGAGGAATAAAGACAGGGAGAAAGAGGACATTGGAAATGAGAGGAGGAGGTAGAATGACGGCACCGCTCTCCAAAGAGAATCATTGTTTTCTCTCATGCTCAGTCAGACGTGGCAAAGGAACAGCGTTATGAGCACAGAGAGAGGAGCGCTATTCAACCGTGTCTGATGCACAGCGCTAATAGGGCCACAGTGAACTGGATTCTGTTTCCTCTCATTGTGTCTTTTGTCTTTCTCAGAGAATTGTATTTTTATTATATACATCTGGGTTATTATAGTTAACTAAATAATGAAACTGAAACCATGCCACTATTTTGTCCTCTTTTGTTATGAGCAGGAAGTTGAAGGAAGTCCGTCTGGATCGCACACATCCTGAGGGTCTGGGTTTGAGGCAAAGGAACAGCGTTATGAGCACAGAGAGAGGAGCGCTATTCAACCGTGTCTGATGCACAGCGCTAATAGGGCCACAGTGAACTGGATTCTGTTTCCTCTCATTGTGTCTTTTGTCTTTCTCAGAGAATTGTATTTTTATTATATACATCTGGGTTATTATAGTTAACTAAATAATGAAACTGAAACCATGCCACTATTTTGTCCTCTTTTGTTATGAGCAGGAAGTTGAAGGAAGTCCGTCTGGATCGCACACATCCTGAGGGTCTGGGTTTGAGTGTTCGAGGTGGGCTGGAGTTCGGCTGTGGCCTCTTCATATCACAGATAGTCAAAGATGGACAGGCAGGAAATGTCGGCCTGCAGGTAAGAAAATCAATTTGTTATAACTCATATGTATATAAAAAGCATTGCTTTCACTGTTTCAGCAAATAATGTCCCATGTACCACTTTTGTGTGTTGTTGCTTCATTGAAAATGTTGACCCAAAGTACACACTATCTTGTCTTATATTAAATATCTGACAACAGATAATGTTAAAGGGGTCATATGATGCTGCTAAAAAGAACATTATTTTGTGTATTTGGTGTAATGAAATGTGTTTATGCGGTTTAAGGTTCAAAAAACATTTTCCACATACTGTACATTTATTGTTTCTCCTCTATGCCCCGCCTTTCTGAAACACGTCGATTTTTACAAAGCTCATAGGTCAGAGGTGAGCTCTGATTGGCCAGCTATCCAGTGCGTTGTGATTGGCCGAATTCCTCAAGCGTGTGACGGAAATGTTACGTCCCTTATCATATTGTGATGCCTGCGGCAACCACATGTGACGACACCAGGCTGGACTCCGCTTCGTCCACAATGAAAGCCCATCCGGCGATCGACAGCACTAAGTTGAAATATGGCATGATGAAGCAGATATCATCCTCTTTTGGAAGGCCAAACAAAGTAGTTTCACTTTCACAA